TTGTCTGTGGTGCCGGCGGGGCGGGCGACCCCCGCCCAGTCAGATCCTCCTGGTCCTTCAGTTGCGTCCTGCTCTACCAACGCTGTGCCGCCGGACCTTCATGTGTCGTCGGGGTCGCAGGCGGGGGAGGAGGAGGGATGGACAGTGGTCAAGCGCGGCCATGGTCCGCGGGCTCGGCCTTCCTCACCGTCTGTCACTCCGCTGCCCTCGTCGCCTCCGGCGACGCTGGCGAGTGTGTGTGGACGAGCAGCGGAAACGATGGAACGGCAGGAGGCGGACAGGCGCGCCCGCGACGCCAAGCGGGCCCGCCTAGCGGAGTTGGAGAGGGCTAAGACGGCCAATCGCTCGTCCGTTGCAAGCAAGGAGCCCACCCCTCGCAGTGGCACACCATCGCCGAAAAGGCCAGTGGAGGCCCCCGCTGACCCCCAGACGCCCGGTAGAGGCCCGCCGATGGGCCCTCCCCCGCCGCCACCCCGGACCGGGTACGCTGGCGTCAAGCGTGCCCCGGCCGGTCCCCCGTCTCCATCTGACGGCGGGAGCCCCAGAACTCGTCCCAGAGTGGGGCACCTCCCTGCAGACTCCAACCGTGGCTCTCAGTCAGAAAAGTCTGCTTCTGCAACTGGCGCAGCCCAGTTCTTTTAGGACGTGCCCGGTTTTAGTATGTGACCTCCAACCGGCTTTTTAACACGCCCCCTTTACAGGCCTTTTTACAGTGGAACTGTAGAGGAATAAGGGCAAATGCCCTCGACCTCCAGGCTGTCGTCAGCGAGCACTGTCCTGCAGCCGTAGCGTTGCAGGAGACCAAGCTTGCTTCTAGTCACCATTGCACGCTGAAGGGATACGCCCTGTTTCGCAATGATGTGTTAACCGACGGTATCGCACATGGCGGTGTCCTTCTTGCAGTCCACCACAGCGTGCCAGCCAGGAGGTTTAACCTGCGGTCTACGCTACAGGCTGTAGCCGCACGCCTACATTTTAATCACCGTCACATCACGGTGTGTTCTTTATATCTTCCACCTGGCGTCGGTTTTCCATTGGAAGACATGAGACGTTTAGTGCATGAGTTGCCTTCACCATGTCTTCTTTTAGGCGACTTCAACGCTCATCACACCGCGTGGGGCTGTGATAGCACGAACACCCGCGGAAGGATGTGCGAACATTTTATCCGTGACTCGTCACTGTGTATTTTAAACACAGGGACTCGTACTCATTTTACACTGCCGTCTGGTCAGACTTCCGCACTTGACCTGAGTCTTTCTAGTCCCGAGCTGGTGGAGAGCCTCGAGTGGTCTGTGGCAGATGATCCAATGGGCAGCGATCACTTCCCAGTGTGGCTTCGATTCCAAATAAGAGGAACGTTGGGTGTAAGACCACGACGTTGGAATTTAAAAAAGGCTGACTGGAGAGAGTTTGAGGCTCGACTGGAGACATTATGTCAGACCGGAGGTGTGAGGGTGGCATCCTCTATTGAGGATTTTACTCACAGACTTCTAGATTGCGCTAGCGATTACATCCCGCGCACTTCTGGATTTCCTCGTCGCACTCCTGTGCCGTGGTGGACGGAGAAGTGTCGTGACGCAATTCGCGCACGCAAACGTGCTTTCCGAGCTTTTGACGCCAGAAGTAGCTTGGAGAATTTAGTAGCCTTTAAGAAAGCCAGGGCTTTCGCCCGCCGCACGATAAAAGGAGCGAAACGTGAATCCTGGCGTATGTACGTAAGCACGCTCAACCGATTCACACCAACTTCGCAGGTGTGGGCTCGGATCAAACGTATCTCCGGGCAGTTTTCATCCGTGCCACTTCCTGTGTTACATGTTAACGGCCAGGTGGTGACTCATCCGTTGGATGTGGCTAACGGGATCGCCCGAGCACTCTCCCACCGTAGCGAAGGTGCAAACATGAGCCCACAGTTTTTACGGCAAAGAGCACAATCCGAAAAAACCGTAGTGAACTTTTCTACAAGGCAACCACAGGCGTACAATGAGCCCTTCACTTTGGTGGAGTTGGAGTCGGCAATCGGAAGACTTCGTAGTGTATCGGAAGGTCCTGATGACATCCACAATGAGATGCTCCGACATCTGCCTCCGTGTGCACGTCGTGCACTATTGGCGGCCTTCAATAGGGTGTGGTCAAGAGGTGAGTTCCCTCCGGCCTGGCGGGAAGCTGTTGTGGTGCCTATCCTAAAAAGGGAAGAGTGGGCTGGACCCTCTTCATTACCGACCCATTTCACTGACGTCATCACTGTCCAAGCTCATGGAAAAGATGGTAAACGTGCGACTCACTTGGTTTTTAGAGAACAACGATATTTTTAGTAACTCGCAGTGCGGATTTAGGAAAAACCGTAGTACGGTGGACCATCTCTTAACACTGGACACCACGGTTCGCAAGTCTTTTCAAGAAAAAGCGCATATGGGGACAGTATTCTTCGACATTGAAGCCGCCTATGACACCACATGGCGCCATGGTATTGTTCAAAAGCTCTTTAAATATGGTATATGTGGCCATATGGGTGCTTTTCTCCAAAGGTTTTTATCCAAACGATACTTCCGTGTTCGGGTCGGCAACGTCCTCTCCGACAGGTACGAACAAATAAACGGCGTGCCCCAGGGCGGCGTGTTAAGTGTTGCACTTTTCGCAGTTATGACAAATGATATTTGTGATGTGCTCCCACAGTCGTCGGACGTGCCCTTTTTGTTGACGATTTTACTATTTGGACCAGTGCAGCGAGAGCACCAGCGATGGAGCGGCGTCTCCAGCTGACTGTGGACCGCGTTGAAAGATGGGGTGACATGAACGGGTTTCGTTTTTCAGGCGACAAGACCGTTGCGATGCATTTTTGTCGTCGCCAGCGATGTGATGATCTGAGCATCCGTCTATATGGTCGCTCTATTCCAAATAAGGCCGTGGCCAGGTATCTTGGGATACACTTTGACCGCCGCCTTACATATAACGCACATCTTAAAATGTTACGCGATCGATGCTTTAAATCTCTCAACATACTAAAGTGTGTGTCTCGTTCATCGTATGGGGCAGACAGAAGCACGCTTATGCTTTTATATCGTTCCCTCGTCCGCTCCAAACTGGATTATGCATGCTTTGTTTATGATGGCGCGTCTGAATCCAGCAAGCGTGTTCTTGATACCGTCCACCATACTGCCATTCGCATTGCTACTGGGGCGTTTCGCACATCACCTTCCGTCAGCCTTTTAACGGAGGCACACGAACCACCACTTTCGACGAGGAGGAAAATGCTTGGCATGCGTTATGCCTTGAAGCTGCGGCAGTTCCCACTTCACCCGACATATTCTGCAATATTTTCGCGGTGTGCAGTAAGTTCTCTTCGTCATGGGCCGCAGCAGCACGCTTTAACTTTCGGTTCCCGAATGAGAGCGTTATTGCTTGAGAGCGGAATTCCTGTTCGGGGTGTAAGGCAAGTAAGCCGCCTGGCTTCTCCTCCCTGGCAAATGACCACACCCTTCATTGACACCTCGCTTACGGAAATTAGGAAAAAAGACGTCACACCACACCTATTGAGATCCAGGGCAGTTGAGCTTTTGGCGTGTTATGAAGGATATACCCTGACATACACAGACGGATCCAAAACCTCGGATGGCGTGGGTTGTGCTTTCGTTAGCGGGTCCGTCACTCGATCGTTCTCGTTACCGGCCCACTCGTCAGTTTTTACGGCGGAATTAGTTGCAATCACCAAGGCGATATGTTTCATCGAAGTGGGTGAAGAATCTTCACACGCCATTTTTACAGATTCACTGAGCAGTCTCTCTGCACTGAAGTCTTTTTATCCATCATGTCCCCTTTTACAGGACATTTTATCACGCCTGACACAATTGAATCGGGTTGGAAAGAGAGTTGCACTATGCTGGATCCCTAGTCACGTCGGTATCGTGGGCAACGAACTGGCTGATGCCGCTGCTAAGCGAGCAGCGGTAGCACCATATACCCGGTTTTTGCCTATCCCTGCCAGAGATTTTTACCCGGCAGTCAAGACCTTCCTGAGAAGCAGATTGCAGCGCTGTTGGGACCAGGTGGGGGGCAATAAGCTCAGGGCAATAAAGACAGAGTTGGGCTTGTGGTCGTCATGCTCTCGCAGTGTGCGGTGGGAAGAGGTGGTTTTATGCAGGCTGCGCATTGGGCATACCTATGCCACCCATGGCCATCTGTTACATGGAGCCGACAGACCCCTATGCCAGCGGTGTGGAGCCGTCCTGACTGTCCATCATGTCATTATATCATGTCCATGCCTCTTCGAAGAACGACGACGTCACTTTGGTTCACAGGCTTCGACCCTGACGATAAACGATGTGCTTGGTGACAGTTCCTCCTTTCTTGGTCCCAAACAGCTCTTTTCGTTTTTAAAAGATATTGATTTTCAAGTCATTTTCACACCGTACTAATTAACAGCATAGTTATGGGCGCAAAATGACCACTGCAGTCGACGCGCCCGAAAACTCCAATGAACAACAACAAGCCGTGCCCCCTCGCCCGCGTCCCCGGGTTGATCGGATCCTGGTGGCTGAGGGGCGCGTCGTGCGGGTTAGTCACGGCGCGTCCCGACATTCCACTTTGGCCAATCCCCCAGTTGGACTCCGAGGTGGGTGGGGAGCCCCGGTGCGGAATGCTTGCTAAAAATCGCATGGCTTCTCAAAACCCAACAAATACCCGGCCCCCGAAAGGAGGCCGGACAGCGCTGAAGCCCGGGTGCTTGGGGGATTCTGTCCCCCTTTGCCCTCGGATCCTGATCTTCTCCAGCGGAGATGTAAACCTCTCCGCCCTGTCACCGTTCCAACGACTCAACGGCTGTGACAAGTTTGGAGACATCACGGGGTGTGACAAGCTGGGGGATGGCAACAGTGAGGTAGAGTTCGCCAGTGGTCTGGAGGCTAAGGGTGCATTAGAAGCAAAGGAGTTCATTTGCAGTATTCGTGATGAGAACGGGAAACATGACAAAACCGTGGCTTTGACAGTAACACCTCGGCCGACAGGGAGTCGCCGGAGCGGCTGGTTTCCCCAGAGCGGCCGGCACCGGACAGCGGCTGGGCCAGCTGCCGGCTGCCAGCCACGCGCCACCTGCAGGTGCTGTACGCCAACTGCGGCCACTTGCACGGCCGACCCGTCTGGACCGTGCTCGGAGTCAGGGTCAGGTGAGATGTGGTTGGGTGTGTGTGGGGGGGGGGGGGGGGGGAAGGGGCAAGAGCCGGAGACAACGTCGGCGCCACCGGGACTTGATTTCCGTGGCCAGTGTAGGGCAGTGATGCCGACCGGCAGCGGTGCCGTCGGCGCCCTACGGGCCTGTCCGCCCGCGCTGGCACTGATGTCGGAGCTGAGCGCGGGATACATAGAACGGAGCTGCTGCCTTTCCCCGTACCCTCATCGTGGAGTAAACGGGTCTCAACACACCTGGTCAGCCGGGACGGGGGCAAACCGGGCATCCGCACGCGCGTGGACAACACGTGAAGTCGACCGCTCCCGCGCGGTGGTTGGTGACCATAAGGGGATGCTTGTTCACACTCTGGAAGTGCCGATGGCCGCGCACCGCTCAGCGCGTACGGCGAGCCATCATTATATGCCCTTATGTAGGATTAGCGGCATTGTAAGCTTTCAATGCCACTCAAGCCAACCCGGCGTCGTAATCCCGTGTGCCCATCTCCACTTCAGGGCAACTGAAGTGATTTTGACCGCGCGACACGATCATGCGCTCCGATCTTAATCCTTGTTAACTCACGTCCAGTTTGGGATGCGCCAGTCGAATTTATAGTTTGTTGCAGCCATCCGTCCCATCAAGAAAGATCAAAGTTGTTCATTGAAAGCTATGATCAGTTTTTCTATGGCCCGTCCTTTAAAATTATCAATTTTTTTAAGAAAAAAGCGGAAATCCCGTTGTCTTTAACCTTGTTAACATATACTCCCAAGCTATAACTATAATGATGAACGGTAAGGCCAAAAATGTCCAATGATTGGCAATAATGCGCAACTGAATGTGTTTTGTGCGTCGTCGATTTTTTCATTTCACCAATAAAAAGTGTGTATTCGGATTTAGCCTGCTTCAAAGCATCGAGCGGAGGCTGGTAAACTACGACCCAAGAACAATAAATTGAAAACAAGAGCAACTCCACTGCCAGTACGCTGCTGATTTGGCGGGACGTGTTGCCGTGAATCCTAGTGTAGATTTCAGGAACACCCGCTGTCCGCCTGAGGCTGGGCCCGCCTGGTTCTAGGCGCCGGGCCTGCAAGGTCGGGGCGACTTCCGATACTGACGTACTGCCCTGTGGCCGGACAGGGGCAGATTGGTACCGCTGTCCCAGCTGTGGGCTTCCGGTACTGACGTACTGCCCTGCATGGCCGGACAGGGGCAGAGGGGTACCGCTGTCCCAGCTGTGGGCTTCCGGTACTGACGTACTGCACTGCATGGCCGGGCAGGGTCAGAGGGGTACCGCTGTCCCAGCTGTGGGCTTCCAGTACTGACGTACTGCCCTGCATGGCCGGGCAGGGTCAGAGGGGTACCGCTGTCTCAGCTGTGGGCTTCCAGTACTGACGTACTACACTGCGTGGCCGGACGGGGGCAAAGGGGTACCGCTGTCCCAGTTGTGGGCTTCCGGTACTGCCGTTTTGTACTGTACCGGCGGGGCAGAGTGGCATCGCTATCCCAGCCATGGGCCTGGGCCGGGTGGGTGCTGCGATGTGACCACCGCCAGTATTGCGATGATGAAGAGACAGTGGACCTGGTGACGAACTTTCGCCCAATGCTTGAAGATTATTCACGTATCCATGAATTATTAGCTTAACCGTTGTTGGAACCAACGTGCTCTCTGATTGCGGTGTATTGCCTAGACACCGACCCTTGGTCCAAATGGTTTTAACCAGAGACAAAACTTTTTCCAAAATGTAAGCCTGCTGCCCGGCCCGCCCTGGCGAGCTACAGATCTAGCCTGCAAAATGCCCTGTGCTACAGTACTGATCCGGCAGTAATCCGAAAGTATGGAAGTGATTGCAATGTGCATGTTGGCAGGCCTATACATAAAGAGTGCACAAAATGACATGTCAGTGTCATTCAATACACAACACTGTTTGGCTGACAACAGTGATGCGGTTTAGAGGGTAGTGATGGAGAACCAGGATCATGTAATTTATTTTGTGCCGAAGTACATTTTAATCGCTTTGATGCCAGTATCCATCCACACATGAGAAGTTGGATGGTGGAGTTTGTAATGGGTCTTCACCAAAATATACCAAAGATTTCATCTTCCCACCTCATTTCAATAGACTACTGGTCATGTCTTCTAAAATTGCATGCATCAATGTAAGCTGTTTGCGTCATGTAGAGGTTTGCACTGAGTAGAAAAATGTTGATGTCTCAATTCATGGGGAGTGTCTCCACTTCATTACACTACACATAACTGCAAATTCGCCAAACGCCGCAAAGCACCATTCCAGTTTGCTATCCTGAAGTGGGCACACCACGCAACAACACAGAATAGGTACCACATAGCAGCACTGAACTTGTCCGCATGTCCCCCTTGTGGGATGGACCCATGGTCCATCCCACAACTATCGCCGTGCCGTTTGCGTTGTGTCGTGTACGTGCAAGCACATTATATGCATTCACCACTCAAGTGGCATCATATGCATTTACCCCTGAAGTGGCGTCATATGCATTTATCACTCACGTGACGTCGTATACATTCATTCAGGTGACATCATATGCATTAAACAATGCCACAAAAACGTAGGATATGGCTAAATTCTGCAACAAAGTCAGTTGTTTTCGTCGTCAAGAAATCGTCAGGAAACATATGAGAATCGTGTCCAGGACCTCTTTACAGATCATTGTTGACAGACTTGCTTTGAAATATTGGGAGGGATGAAAAACAAAGTGGAACAAAAGCCTTAACGAGACAGATATGTTAAAAATTGCAGTAAGGCTGAAACGTGTTATATGTAAGTGACTTTGTTATCGTGGTCGGTAGCTGTACGCGCTTTAGGAATACGTAGACAAACTCGTTGTGTCGCGCACTTTGCACTAGTAGCTGTGGGCTGCATTGACGAGTAAGCAAGGCTGGGGCAATAAAAGGCATACAGTTTCCCATTCATTTCAGTTAGCATTGATATTGGCTGTGAGGCATGGTTTTTATGAAACAAGAAAGTTTGAGTGCACTCCACCTTCACAATACCAGTCAAATGCAGTGTGTGCCTGTGATTTGTGACACAAAGCTTTGGAAATTTGTGTTGCTATTCTTGAGTTTTTCAGAGAGATGTTTGCTTTAAGTTATTCCATTTGTGTAACTTAGTTACTCATGTCATCACTGATGTTCTACTCTTAAAAGGAAATTGAAATCATTCTTTCAAATCGGTGAAAGTTATTTTCATAGTGTGTTCTGTCTAGTGTCTCACCCTCGGTTTTGGGTGATTCTAAAACTTGAATAACAAAAATTGCATTATTTTCCCTGTTAAAATTTTTGGCGCACAAAGGGCCCGCCAAGTTCATTCCATAATTCGGCCAAAAGACCCGCCAAGTCTGGCCCATATCTCGGCCAAAAAGCCTGCCAAGTCTGGCCCATAACTCGGGCAAAAGCCCGCGGGTTTTTGCAAGTCAGATGTTGGCGTGTTGGCGGGTTGGAAAGTTACGTGTTAAGTATGAGCCATGCGATAATTTGCCATCGGCATATTTTCCAACTATTTCGTAAAGTTTGCATGTCAGGCAGTGCCAGACATGATGGCCGCAGTAATTGTTCTCCTTCTTCTTGGAGAAATTCGACGTCTCAGGCGTGAATGCAGTCCGCTCGGTGTGCCTCGTGCCTACGTGTGTCACCCTTGAGATCGCCAATCAGTTTATTTTCTGAAATAAGTTCTGGCGTGAATTGGAGTCTAGTTGGACTTTCTATGCCACTGTGACGGGGTAGAGCGATCAGCATTTCTTGTGTTGATTGCAGTGTGCGTGTCATCGATGTTGCATTGCTATTCGCGGGCGATTTTCTAGTCGGGGTCCGTTGCCATTTGGTGATGGGATCTAACGCTGCCATCCGTAAACCGCGCCTGAAGGAGTCTGGTGATCCGTAATCTATGGCTCAGTGCCGTCCGGACAGTCCTAGGCTCATGTCATCTGCAGTGAGAGCGCACACAGATTGGACCCTCAAAGGACGTTGTTCGCCGCGGGCTCCACATCGATTTTCAGGTTGTTTAGTCTGAGCACGACGACGGTGTTTTCCCAGGTTCCTAGGTGCAATGCTATCGGCTAGTCATTTGGTGTCTAAGATATTGACCCGATGCGATCCCATCTTTCCTGGAACATCTAATACTTTGCATTATCATACTGGCATGGTTATAATTAAAGCAAAGTCTGTTCTCGCACAGTCGTGCTGCGTTTCGCCTGATTCCTGGTTCACGTCAGGCCAACCAGAGGGTCAATTGAATCAAGGCATAGCTACCAGATAAATCTACCCCGTCATCGCATCATGTTTGAGCATGCTCGCACAGCTCCGTGACGTTGACGCAGCTTTATAAAGCTGCGTATCGGATTACTCCGTGTGCAATGTTTGTAAAACCTCGTGCAGAAACTTCGCATCACAACTCTTCGCACGCAAAGCGTTGCGCGCAAGTCACCTTGTTGGAAATCCTTATGTGCAGATCCTCGTGCGCAAATGTTCGTATCCGCCAGCTGCTTATCTGCTATTCTTGATATCCGCAAAATATCCTGCTCGCAGTTATTCGCATCACATATCCTGTAAAACGCATCTCTTTTTTCGCGTTCCTTCGCACGCATGCCGTCATGCACGCATTTATCCGTGACGTAATGCTTCCCAAACGTGATTGTCCCTGACGCACACATTTTCGTACACGCAGTTTTTTGTATATGACGTCGTGTTGGATTTCTTCGTGCACTTCTTTCTTTTGCGTCACTTTTTTGTTGAACTTACCCCCTTGTATGGCATAGTTGGCAGTAAAAATACAAACGTTGGCATTTCCATATATTGCCCGCACTTCCGGCGTTCGTACCCGCTATTGTTTTTATAAAATGCATGTGCAGCGTGGACTGCCATATTGGAACACTTGATGGGTTGGATAAAAATGCGAATGGCGAATTTATCCACGGACCAGTTCATTATGATTCATAAAGTTTTCACCAAAACACGAATGATGTCCAGAC